GGATAGCTTTGCCTTTTATTGTGGAAAATATTGCGTTAGGGACAGAAGTTCACCAAAGTTTCAGAGGGACGAACTACCTCCTTCTTCAGAGTCGAAGAATAAACCAAGAAAACTTACTGCTTGCTTGTAGCTTTTTCGACTTACTCTTGTACCCCAAAGACGGAGGCAGTACATTCATGCGAAACGACGGTATCACTAACTGCATGGAGACCTTCTTGATAAGCTGCCAGTTGTGCTACTATTCAAGTACTTCCCAGCATTTTATTGAACCCGAAGGTTCATTACCGTCTTCACAAGAACCCACCACTGGTCCCTATCGTGAGCTAGGTCACTTCATTCCATACCACCCCATCCTATCTCTCAAAGATCCATTTTAATATTATCCACCCACCTACATCTTGGTCTTCCCAGTGGTCTCTTTCCTTCTGGCTTTCCCACCAATATCCTCTATGCATTCCTCGTCTCCTCCATTCGTGCTACATGCCCTGCCCACCTCATCCTCCTTGCCTTGATCATTGTAATTATACTTGGAGAAGAGAACAAGTTATGAAGCCCTCATTATGCAGTTTTCTCCAACATCCTGTCACTTCATCCCTCTTCGGTCCAAATATTCTCAACACCCTGTTCTCAAACGCCCTCAGTCTATGTTCCTCCCTTAATGTCAGAGACCAAGTTCCACACCTATACAGAACCACAGGCAAAATTATAGTTTTGTATGTTCTGATTTTTATGTTTTTAGACAGCAAACGGGAAGACAAAAGGTTCTGTACTGAAAGGTAGCAAGCATTTCCCGAATCCAATCTCCGCTTAATTCCCTCTTGAATTGAATTTTGATTTGTTACTATCGTTCCTGAATATAGAACTGTGCCACATATTCAAAGGATCTGTTAGCTATCTTTACGTCTTGACTTTTCCCTGCAATCTGGTGACGAGACAGCAACATATACTTAGTTTTCCTTGTTTACTTCTAGACAACCACCTTACTAGCGGCAGTTCAATTTCATGACTTTTCTTTTTGGTATCTATGTTATCTTCCAGTAGATTCACATCATCAGCATAGACCGGCAGCTGACGTGTCCCATCTAATTTCAGTCTCATCTGGTTTTCCTGGACACCCTTGAAGGTATTATCCTTTTACATGAAAGTAGATCTTAAAGAAATGGGGTATGGATCTGTGGACTAGAATTAACTGTCTCAGGACAGGATCCAGTGGCGGGTTTATGTGTGAAGACGTACTGGAACTTGGGGTTTCATGAAAGCTGGGATTTCTTTTCCAGCTGAGTAACTGAAAACTTTTCAAAGAATGGAGTTAATTTGCTAGCACGATTCCTGTAACAAAGGTTTCTGGCCCCTCGAAGCGCCCGGACAGACGCGCATGTCACCCAGATTCCGAGATACCTACAGGAACTTCCACCTCATGACCCTCCCTCACGGTTTGTAATGAATTGTAAACCGGAAGTTGTTACTGCCCACGATCATTCAGGGCAGGAAAACTAATTTGTATGAGAATTTTAAGGATCCGAAAATAACTGCCATCTGTTGCTAACCATTTTAGGATGGAATATTTCCATCATTTTCTCCGTCTGTGAGAACAAGAAGTCCTTCAGTGGACGTTTTGTTAAACAACGCATTGTTCGCTGATTTTGGATATGGCTGTATCTTTGTTCCCTTTAGTAAGGAGTAAGAAGTAGGTCTACAGGGTGATTCGCACGGAAGAGGCCGCCTGCTACATTTATAGATCACGCAATAATTTACTGATGAAACTAAAATTGGCAACAATGTGTATTTTGAAACACGGACCATGTGCCTGTCAGTCCGGTTCACGCCATTTATGCAAATCGTGCGATCCTTGCAACCATGCTAGCCGAAACATTCGTGAACATGGAGAGTCGTGTAGGCCTGTGTCTCCAAAAGTAGGAAACCGAATTTGAAGGTCGTCCGTATCCCTATTATCTCCACATCTACAAAAGTATATTTTCGCCAAATTTCATTTTTATCGGTAAATTATTGCGTGGTTTGCAATTATTGGTTCGGGTACTTCTCCGAATGAATCATCCTGTAGATACAGTGCTGTTCGGGCTGGCTGATGTTGCGAAGAAATTCCGATATTCCAACACATTCTCGTACCATCCATGTTGAAGTCTGAAGACATGTGAAACTATATGATGTCGCGTAAAGGGGCTATGTATCTCGCTGTACAAATTCGGGTGTAGAATCCAAATAATAAGCCACCGAAGATATAATGCGTGGACACGGGTACAAGACATACACAGTATTGCTTCATTTTATGAAATTTGTTCACAACAGAAATATGTATATTGATATGTGAAATGTCCTTGTGAGTGCAGTGAAACGAACACAAGCACGTGCTCTTTTATAACTTTATATGTTTGGATTTGCACTGTGTGTACCTTCTGTATTGTATTTTGTTTTGTATTGTTCCCTTATGTTATAGACTTTCCTTGTCTGTATCAATGTACGTTCTACTGCCACCGGGTGAACACCCAATTGCAGTAAAATATAATAATAATATCCCCCAGTGATGTTGGAACCCTTCTTGCCAGTGCGCAGTCCACCACTTAAGGTTGCTGGTACTTTTGAAGCCGTTTAAACCCGAAAGAAACAATTCCATTCAAACGACACAGAAATGTTCTAAAAATCGGCATTGAAATATGGGTTGACAAGGTTTTACCAGTGATTAGTGATTTGGTCGCCGTGCGGATGGTTAGCACAAGTATAGATTCGGTTCGATATATCAGAGCTGCCAGCAGCAGCAGAGCTATTCACCGAGGGTGTAAGTATGTGTAATAAAAGTAACAATTCAAAGAGTAAATGGGCCGTAAGTGTATGGTCTTCTACCTCATATTGTGGACTTACTGGGTTGTGACGCCGTCTGTAGTCTGATCTGGTAGGTGGGCACAGCTCTTCTTCTTCTTCTTCTTCTTCTTCGAGGTAGACTGATGACTGAGGCACCAGATTCCTCTGAAACAGTGGTAATCACCTACCAGTCTTTACTTCTCTGAAAACTTCAGATATGTTCCATAAATCCATCTATTGTATCTGTATAAGAAACTGTACTACAGGGCATGATTGATAGACTAATTGAAATTGGAAGGTGCTATGGCATGGAAATGAATGTGGAAAAAACAAAAGTAATGAAAATTTCGAGACAACCAACCCCTCACAATAAAGATAGACCAAAAACAACTGGAGAATGTGAAATGTTTTAAATATTTGGGTAGCTTGTTAACAGATGATGGAAGGTGTACGTGTGAAATTAGATCCAGGATTGCCATGGCAAAAGCTGCATTTAGCAAGAAGAAGAATCTTTTTACCAGCAAATTGGACTTAAATTTGAGGAAGAAACTAGTGAAATGCTACATTTGGAGCATAGCTCTGTATGGGGCTGAAACATGGACACTTAGGGCAGTAGATCAGAAACATCTGGAAAGTTTCGAAATGTGGTGTTGGAGAAGAATGGAGAAGATCAGTTGGACCGATTATGTGAGAAATGAAGAAGTGTTAATTAGAGTCAGTGAGCAGAGGAATATCCTACATGAAATAAGAAAACGGAAGGCTAATTGGATTGGTCATGTTTTACGCAGAAACTGCCTTCTAAAAGAAGTTATCGAAGGAAAGTTAGAGGGGCGGATAGAAGTGACAAGAAGACGAGGAAGAAGACGTAAGAAGATGCTGGATGACCTTGGGGACAGAAGAGGATACTGTCATTTGAAGGAGAAAGCTCTAGATCGCATTAAAGGGAGGAATTGTTTTGGAAGAGACTGTGGACCTGTCGTCTTGACAGATTACTGATGATGATGATACGAGTATGTCTGAGTACTTGTCTGTCTATATCCGTCTCTCTACCTGTCTCTATGTCTGTCCAACTGCCTCTTATCTGTGCATATATATACATGCATACGTACACCTTAGGGGGGGGGCGATAGCATAGTTCGTTGAGGTACATTGCTGCAAGCTCGAATGTGGCGGGTTCGAGTCCCGATGAAGTGGATTCTTTTAATTTACCTAACCCTTCCAGCCACACTATGGCACTGGGGTCGACTCGGCCTCTAACAGGAATGATTACCAGGAAACTTCCTGGGGAGTAAAGGGCGGCAGGCTTGTAAGGCTGGCAACCTCATCGCCATGCATGAACCGATTGTCTAGTTAATGTGGGAGCCTCGACGTATCACAAGCCCATAGGCTTTCACGGCCTGGTATAGGGATAGATTTTTACATACACCCTACAGGCATCTGCCTACAGACGTCCGTTCGTCTCTCCGTCTGTATGTGTATGCACACACGCGCGTTCAGAATGGTTAATTGCGGCCAGAACCGTGCAGATAGACGCGACCTCCGCGTAATGCGTTCATTTAATTAACTAAATGTAAACAGCGCTTAATAACAACGAATAGCAGGGTGTCTTCAAGCATATCTTAAGTTGGCTATACCGATCCTGTTATATACCGTACCATTTTTTTTTCCTTGGCACTACAGCCCCAGTGGGCCTAGGCCTACCTCCATGAACTTCTCCGTTCACTTCGGTTTTTCTAGATCTTACAAATTCGGTAGGACTCCTTGGGCAGGTGATCAGCTCGTCGCAAGGCCTCTACCTATACACAATAACAGAAAAACGCACACACACAAACTAAACATCCATGCCCTGAGTGGGATTCGAACCCACGATCCCGGTTTCCAAGCGAGCGAAGACAGTACATACCGTGACCGGCACCGTACCATATCAGCCTCATATATAATTTGCGTAAACGTTACTTGGATGTGACTTTTGTGATGATTGATACTGATTGCTTGTCTTGGAGACAGAAGGAGTTATGCCAGCGGTAGAGTTACAACTGACAGTCTCCGTTGAACAAGTCTGCGATGAAAGATAAGGTAGAAGATGATTTTTCGTGAAGGGTTCGAAAGCTGGTACCGAAGTTTCAGATGCGAAATATGATGAAAAATAAGTGTGCTCATTATTTCGTCTGGTTCTGTTTCAGGAGAAGAACTCGTTCCTGAACTACAATGTGTCCTGCATCCTTACACTGCCCCCCTACCAGCGTCAGGGCTACGGCCGCCTCCTCATCGACTTCAGTGAGTACTCCTTCTATGTTACTAGTAGCTTCCGGCAGCGAGGGTCCGAAAAGTAACATCCTCTGCCCGGTAGTTTCCGAAGTATACGTAGCCTGGACAGTCATTCCGAAACATCCGTAAATGTGTATATATTCGAACACAGGAGCTTTTTAATTTTGTTTGTTTGTTTGATTGATTGATTGTGTTTTGAACACAGACTGAGGGTGTTTGAGAACAAGGTGCTGAGCAGAATATTTGGATCGAAGAGAGATGAAGTTAGGGAGATTGGAGAAAACTACATGAGGAGCTTCTTAACTTGTACTCTTCACAAAGTATGATTACGATGATTAAGTCAAGGAGGATGAGATGGTCATGGCATGTAGCACGAATGGGGCGAAGAGGAATGCATATAGGATATTGGTGGGAAAGCCAGAAGGAAAAATACCACTAGGAAGACCAAGACGTACGTAGGTGGACAATATTAAAAGGGATCTTAGATACTGTGTGATTGTACGGACTGCATCGATCTGGCACATGATAGGGACCGGTGGATGGCTCTTATGAATACGGCAATGAAATGCTGGGAAGTTCTTGAATAATCGCAAAAGTGGCGGCTTCTCAAGAAGGGCTCGGCTCCAGGAGCGAGTGAGTGAGTGATTGTTTTGGGTCCCTAAGCGAGTGTTACGGGTTTATAAAATGAATTTTTAGCCTACTTAATCTTTTAAAAGAAAGGTACGATTTTGAGGTCACCATACCAACAAACATCATTGGGGTTTCATAGAGCGAGTGGTCCTATAAGATATGGAGTATTACGGTCGTTGTAGAAGCCAGAAGGGTTCAAATGTACAAAATTATTTCGGGACGGTACAGTTACGTAGTCTGTGGGTCGAATATAAGCATGTAGCAGCAAGTAGTTATTGGTACCGGCAGAGGAAGTTTCTGTGTTCCTTTGAACAGAGAGTGATGACAACGAAGTCATAAAGTATGCGCGCAATTAATAAAATCTCCGTCCTCTATTAGCCGTGTCAGTTTGATAGAAGTTACCGACGTTTCGGGGACCATCTCTGTCCCTATCGTCATAGGCTCTAAAGCGTTCCATCTATATACCAAAACTTGGCCCCGTGAACGGAACTAAGAGTGGGCCAATGGGGGATCCTGTGTCACGTCACACCCTGATAATGGAGGCAGAGATGGTTCCTGAAACGTCGGTAATTTTTAATCAACTGGCTCAACTGATACGGTAACCCGAGAATATTTTATATTAATATTACTTGTCATGAAGTTTTCAGATCTGACGTGTGCGTTTAAGTTTCTGGGTCTCATTAGGACCAATACGGTTGTTAGTTGTGGCGACATTGAGGAATTTGCAGCTGTTGGTATATTTTTACAACTTTAGGCTTTTCTACGTGTGTCACCCCGATGTTTTTTTTTTTCGTGTTTATGTCTGCCTTGTATAGGCTTTTCCTGTGGCGCTACAGCCCCAATTTGGGCCTAGGCCTACCTCCATGAAACTCTCCGTTTCACTTCGGTTTTTCTAGATCTTACACATACGGTAGGACTCCTTGGGCGAGTTATCAGCTCGTCGCAAGGCTTCTACCTGTAGCCAAACACACAAAAACGCACACAAACATCCATGCCCTGAGTGGGATTCGAACCCACGATTCCGGCTTCCGAGCGAGCGAAGACAGTACATGCCTTAGACGGCTCGGCTACTGAGACCGCCTTGTATAGGCTTACATTGCGTTTATTGCCAAACATTCGAATTGTTATAAGAGCGCTATGTCATCTGAAATATCAGCAGTGTCAGTACACAGTCCTATGGTCTCGCTTTTCGAGGCAGATAGGATTCAGTGACGGGGTGTGCGGTGTAACCCATACTTGGTGTTCTGTCTAGCCTTTCCCAATTATCTTGACTCTGTCGTAACGATACGTTATGAAGATTATTTCCTGTAAGTAGGCATGTATGTATATACAAACATGCACACAAGGTCTGACATGTAAATATTCGGAATGCTATTTCCCTGAAGGCACGTGACAACTGTCGATTCGCAGTATGCATTACACGCATGTATGTAGTCTGCTGGATATTGTGCATATTCTCGTTTCGTAAACTGTGTATGTTTAGGTAATCAGCTATGGGTTGCAGGAAAGGAGTCTGCTCGCATGGGCGCGTTAGAAGGAGAACGCCGTTTCCTCGCTACACCTGACGAAAGTAACGGATATAGCTGCCGAAACATTGTATATATTTTATTCATTAATTTATTTGTGGTCTATTTGACGACATTGTCACTAATGCAGGTTATGCAATGTCGAATGATTCAATTATCAGTGAATGATGAATTAGTAAGGATGTGAAAAGAAACGGCAGTGGCCTACTTTGAGGTACTCACCCAACATTTATTGGTCGGAGTTCGAATCCCGGTAGGGTCAAGAATTTTCTCTTCTCCAAATCGTCCAGACCGGCTCTGGGGTCCACCCAATCTCCTATCCAATGGGTACCAAGGCTCTTTCCCCGGGGGTAAAGCTGTCTGGGCGTGAAGCTGACCACACCTCCAGCTAGTGCCGAGGTCAAGAAAATCTATACATCCACTCCCCATACGCCTTCATGGAATAGTGCTTAATTCGTTGACACAGGGAGAACTTTACCTTTTGCTTTGCCCAACATTTGTTAAGGAAAACCGTGAACAACCTTACGGGAGCTGGTGTTTCGATCGTGATTGAAACCGGGCCCCTAGTGAGAACAAGTCGGAAGCGTTATCGTTTGAGCCAACATTCTCAGCGTTGTGTATTATATCAAATATGCCCGAAACAGCGAACAGTTGACATTGGACAATGTAATAGTGACATAAAGGACTGATGTTATGCAACAGCCAACGACATTGGTCAGTTGGCGCATGCTGGATCACGTGACTTCAGGATTCAGACATTTCGTTCCAAATAGTTTTTGGTGTTAATTTTTATTTGCGGTCGCAGTGAATGTTTTATTGGCATCGTGATTTGTTTGTTTTTTGTCTTTCCGTCAACATACCTTGGAGAAAATAAGTTTTGCTCAAATCATTTAACAAGATTGGTGAAGACTAGTTGCTGATGAAGAGGCTTGAGTCTTCCAAAATGTACAGATGCCGCGATGTGAAAGCCAGTGGTCAGAACTACGCCATAACTATTGTTTGAAAATTGTCTCTTCAAATTTTGGAACGCTGATGGCAGCACATTCATCGAAAATAACCCCCCCCCCAAAAGAAAAGAAGCCGAACTATTATATCAATGCACCANACTACTCTGTTTTGTTCCCCTGTGTGTCTTTCTTTCTTCATGTTCCCGAAAGTATACCATCATTGAATTGAGCTCATTCGGAATCATTTTGGAATTCAGATCAATGTATGAACAGTACTGAGAGAAGGATAATAAAATCTTTTTTGGGCGACTAGTGTGCTATTTTCTGATTGTGGGGGGCAGAGAAAGTCTCCGAAGCGCGGACATTTACTCCGAACTAATGCTGCTGTTCGCCGTAGAATATTTTGTCACTTTTAGTTTCGGCGACAGCTCAAAATCTGATGTTTTCGTATGTTGCCTATGTAACGCGACAATAATTCACGTGGGTTTCGGATTTGGCTACTATGTTTATTGGACGCTCACTTTTACACTTACAAGTACAATTATTCACAATTACAATTACTGCCAAACTGAAGAATGACTCCTCTTCTAAGGTCACATGCAAACTGAACTCGTCTCCCGTCCAAGTCCAAGTCACATTGCAACTGACGGTCAGTCAGTCAGTAAGTCTTGGTGTCTGGGGCCCATGACCAGATATTAATCACGCTTTGACAGTTACGGTTTTGTTTTTGTGGGGCGCCCTCTCTGACGAGAGGACGGGTCTGTCTTTTGTATATGCTGCTGCTTCTTGCCAGTGCAGTCTTTCTCGGGTCTGAGACTCGCGACCATATTTTACTGACTCAGATTTGAGATTTCCCTTTTCGTCGCCTCCTACGACTCGCAGGGTCACGGTGCAGGTATTCGACCCCGCCTCCACACGGGTTTACGGTCTTGTTTTTGTGGGGCTCCCTCTCTTATGACTTCCACGCGGATTCGATAGGGAATCCCATCTCGAAGGGTTCATTCCGCTCGGTGCTATCGAAACGTTGCTTCAACAATTCGTGTGTAACGGTGGAAACTCCACTGTTAAGAATTGCTAGCGTTCTGCTTCCTAGCCGCTGTCGTGGGAACGTTGGTCGTTGCCTAGAAAATCAACTCTGATCTCCTCAACCATTTCGACTTTCTGGTGGGACGCCACAATATTCTAACCACTTTAAAAAAAATGATTTCCAGCAGTTTTTCAAAGCATAGCAGAGGCCGTCGATTTGGGTACAATGTCAGAAGACTATTACTTTGAAGGTGACTACACACACTGAAGCTTAATGACAATAATGCTTGCCAAACGCAACTCTATGCGGAAAACTGTGGACTCACGACTCATTAAAGTCATGAATCCACTTCGTTTTCCTTCTTTTACGTAATTTAAGCCACATGTAAACTAAAATGTCTTCCTCACTGGACAACGTCATGTCATGAACTAGAGAAGATGTGATAAGACGCAGACACGTGCTACTTTGATGCGCGGACTCGAGTCTGAATCACGAATGAAGCAAGACTGCGTCTTTTGTCTCATGTCTTGATGCTTGTCTTGACGCAGTTGGTGTGCGGCCGCCATTACTCTTCTTTTTCTCTTCAGATTCTTGGTTATGTGGTCAGTGGTCGTGGTTGAGCCTTCTCCTCGTTGTAGCCTTGTGCTGTGCCTTTCCCTTCCCCTCTCCTCCTGCACAGTTAGGTTTCTCATGCCTGTACAACAGCACAGATTCAGTCTTCTCGTTCGAATATCAGACCTTATGCTGTAGGGTATATGAAGACAATCGCCCAAACTTGGTAGCGCCTTTTCCAAGAACCAATTAGATCCCTCTGCTATCCCCCATCCCTTCCTTGCCTTACCAACGCATTTCTTTGTTGACTGAGCCTTATTCCAATGT